TATATATGACTATAATCACGCCAACATCTACAGTAGTAGTTGATAGATAGCGGGCGAAGAAACGTCTCTTACAGTGAATTTCATTTAATCGTTTATCAGAGACAATATTTTATGCATATCGAGCGGCCTATTCTTCATCTAGATCTGTCGCGCCTGGGCTCGGCTGCCACGCATACATGAGAAACGGTAAATATCCCACACTACGGGGAAATTTGCTCTCTCGAGAAACACGGGACTCATGGGCGAGCCTAATCATAGATGTAGAATAGATGTAGATATATGAAAGCGACAGACATATATAGACCTAGATAGACATAGATAGACCTAGATAGGCATAGATAGACATACATAGGCCTAGATCGATTATAGGCATAGATAGACCTAGATAGATATAGACAGACATACATAGACCTAGATAGACTATACGCATAGATAGGCACAAATAGACCTAGCTAAACATAGATAGGCATAGAGCGACCTAGATAGACATAAATAGACATAAATAGTCCTAGATAGATTATAGGCATAGATAGGCATAGGTAGACAGTGATGTAGAACACGGGCTCTGTTCTTATTCCCTATATATATGAGTTAACAGGCACAGGATGCTGGAGTGCGTAATGTAATTCGTGACACATTGTGTATTGTTTCCACCCGACACCGTACCACACAGTAAATAGCACACAAGTAAACGCTCCATAGCTTACCTCACTAGTTAAGCGTATGTACGCGTCGTTCGTGTACCGTGTTGTACCGTGCCTTACGGCACCGCACTACGGATTATAGAGTCAACTCAATGCGCTACTACTTGTTGAAAATGGAAAACTGTGCCACTAACGTTCACGCAAACACTTCTACGCACGCCGGTGGTTTGCCTTGTAATCGTACGCCATAGTGTTGACACACCTTGTGATTACCCTCATAGTACTCGTGCTGTTTGCTGGCGCAGGTAATTACGAGAGAGCGCTCTCAATTATAAATGAACAGCGGCATGTCGTATGTTAGCTGTTCGTAGGGGGTCAATTGAATGTCAGCGGACAATGTAGAGAGTTGCCGAAATGTCTCAGACGTCAACAACGAGCGTGTAGCAACGAACCGTTAGCCTCGACGATTATATATTATGATAAAAAAAATTCCACATATCATCATATTAGGAGTGAATAATAATATATTTTTATTACTAATATTATTATTATTATTATTATTATTGTTATTCACTCTATTATTATTATTATTAGTAGTAGTAGTAGTATTTACTACTACTATTATCATTACTATTATTATTACCGCTATTATGACTCACTCCTGATCATATTAATGCGTTACCAGTGTCGGGTGCGCACGCGGTGCCCGGAAATCTCATCAGAGACTTGAGGAAGCGACGGAGCGCGGGACGGGGAGAAGGCATTTATAACGACACCACGTAGATCACAACGCAACCAAAAAACTCGCAAATTACGAGCTTGCTTTTTACGTTTAAACAATCCCACAGAATTCATCAGCATCGCGATAGTGGAGATATTCACTCTTTGAGTAATATTGTCGAAGACGCTACAGGATTACGTCGATAATTATGCGAATTGCTGCTACGGTCTCGCGACATTGCTTGCGTCTCTTGCGTATCATAAAATGCTATGTATAGACCGTTGCGCGCCACAGTCAAGGATAAAATCCGCGTCTTCCCCTCCAGATATAGGCGAGATATAGCGGGTACTCTGCAAAATTGCCGAATCGTCGATATATCGTGCGCTGCGTCTCGTCGTCGCCATGTGATCTCATGACATTTAACAGTTGTCCACTACCGTCGCTGTTCGCGCATGCGCTGTGCGGGACGGAACACGCTGTAAGGAAGCAGTGATATGCGCTGTTGTTGTTGACGCCGAGGCTGATGCTGATGCTGAAGCTGATGCGGAGGCTGATGCTGAAGCTAAAGCTGAAGCTGAAGCTGAGGCTGAGGCTGATGCTGAAGCTGATGCTGAAGCTGAAGCTGAAGCTGAAGCTGATGCTGCGGCTGATGCTGAGGTTGAGGCTGAAGCTGAAGCTGCGGCTGATGCTGAGGTTGAAGCTGAAGCTGAAGCTGAGGCTGATGCTGCGGCTGATGCTGAGGTTGAGGCTGAAGCTGAAGCTGAGGCTGATGTTGCGGCTGATGCTGAGGTTGAGGCTGAA